TTGTTCTCTCTCTTCTCCTTCTGGCACCCCCAATATGCAAATGTTGGCACGCTTGAAGTTGTCCCAGAGGCTCCTTACACTATCCTCATTTTTTTGGATTCTTTTTTCTTTTTGCTGTTCTGATTGGGCGTTTTTTGCTTCCTTATATTCCAAATCGATGGTTTGCTTGTTGGCTTTACCTACTCTACTATTGAACCTGTGTAAATTATTCTTTACTTCAGTTAGTGCCTCCTTCATTTCTGACTGTGCATCCATCATTTCTGACTGGTCCTTTTTTAGGCTCTTGAGGCCCTCACTAAGTTCGCTGAGGTTCTCACTAAGTTCATTGAGCATCCTTATAAGCAGTGTTTTGAATTCAGCATCTGTTAGGTTGCTTATTTCCATTTCGCTTAGTTCTCCTCCTGGGGTTTTGTTCTGTTCTTTCATTTGGGACCTGTTTTCTGTCTCCTCATTTTGGCTGCCTCCCTGTGTTTGTTTCTGTGTATTACTTAACGAGAGGTATGGGGCTAGCTGAGACCACATGCTGTTTGTTTGAAAGAATTTAGGAAAACCTGAAGCAGGATCCAAGACAGGCCAATCCTATGGTTAAGCAAGTGGCAACAGCTTGGGTGGGCTTGAAAGTTGGGTGGAGCGGGGCCTCAGGGAATCACCAGGGCGGGGCTACCAGTGTGAGCCAGGTTGCTGGAGTCCCAGATATGGGGGCTGTCTGCCACCCCAGGGAAGGACTCAGCAAAGAAACAAAGGCCTCTGACAGCATGTCTGTCCCGGAGAAAGCCCCCTCTCCAGCCCTCGCTCCAGTGCCAAACAGCTCAGTTCTTCCCTGTATGTCTCTGGCGCCCCTCGAGCTGCCTCTCCTCCAAGCTTAGAGGGAGAGAGTCCGATAAGTCCGTGCGCGGGCCCTTTAAGGAGCTGCCTGGGGCTCCAGCCACCTCAGCCTCCCTGAGCCTCAGTTCCCGCTGGTTTTTCCAGCCAGAAGTGATGGGGATTCTCTTCCTGGCACTGGAACCCTTAGTGGGGTGCCTGGTGTGGGATGGCGACCCCTCGGTTCTCAGGGAGGACCTTCCCAGCCAAGGTGTCTTCCTAATTTTTATCCACTACACGTGGGTGAGGGACCAGCCCATCTGCCTCTGCCCCTCCTACCAGTCTTGATGTGGCTGCTGCTTTAATTCCGTAGTTGTAGGACTTCCATTCAGCTTGATTTCAGGTAGTTCTGAATGATGGTTGTTCTGTAGTTTAGTTGTAACTTTGATGTGGTTGTGGGAGGACGCGATACCGCGTTTACCTACCTGCCATCTTGTAAAACTTGTTTCACAAAAGGATACTTTAAAGTGGAAAAGTATCTTTCTAAAATTCGAACAAGGATTCTTAAGCTTAAGAGTATGCCTCATAAATCAAACTAAAAAGTTTTCACACAGCAAAGGAAACCATCAACAAAATGAAGACAACCCATTGAATGAGAGAACGTATTTGCCAATACATCTAATGATGGGTTAATATTAAAAATTTATAAAACCCAACACCAAAAACACAATCCATTTAAAAAATGGACCTGAATAGACACTTCCCCAAAAAGGACATCCAGATGGCCAATAGGCATATGAAATGATGCCCAATGTCACTAATCATCAGAGAAATGCAAATTAAAACCACAAGATATCACCTCACACCTGTCAGAATGGCTATCATCAATAAATCAACTAACAAGTGTTGGCGAGGATGTAGAGAAAAGGCATCTCTAGAGTACTGTTGGTGGGAATGCAGATTGGTGCAACTACTATGGCAAACAGTATGGAGTTTCCTAAAAAAATTTTAAATGGTACTGCCTTATGACCCAGCAATTCTACCTCTGGCAATTCATAAAAACAAACAAACAAAAAACCCCAAACATTAATTCAAAAATATATGCACCTCTATGTTCTTTGCAGTGTTATTTATAGTAGCCAAGATTTGGATGCAGCCCGTGTCCATCAGTAGATGAGTGGATAAAAAAAGCTGTGGCATATTTACAAAACAATTTACTACTCATCCGTTAAGAAGGAAAATCTTACCCTTTGTGATAGCATGGATGGACCAGGAGAGCATTACACTAAGTAAAATAAGCCAGTCAGGAAAAGACAAGTACCATATTTCACTCATATGTGGAATCTAATGAGCAAAATGAACTAACAAGCAAAATAGACTTGGCTCTCTATGTGGGGGTGGGAAGGGGTGGGGGGATAGAGCAGTGGTGGGATCGAGCAAAAAAGAAAAAAATGAATGGACACGGACAACAGTGTGGTGATTGCTGTGGGGAGGAGTAGAGGGGAAATAAATGGTGATGGACAGAAACTTGACTTGGGGTGGTGAATACACAATATAGTGTACAAATGATGTGTTGTAACATTGTTTACCTGAAACCCATATAATTTTGTCAACCAGTGTCACTCCAATAAAAAAAAAAAAAGCTTGCCTCAAACACACTAGTAATCATCAATCATTTTAAATAAACAGAGTTGCTGTGATTTCACTGGAGGCTTAGTAGAGTAAAACAAAGAGATGAGAAAGCCAGAGTTCTATAGGACAAGACTTCATTGGAGAAGTGTCAGCAAATATCTTACTAATAACGCAGGAAAGTGAAAAATTGAGAAATACACCTTAGGATGACTTCAATCACAAAGTCTAAATTTTGGGAGTAATATAAACCAAATCACTTATTAAAATATGCATTTGTGTTTGTGTGAGTTTTTAGGGAAGGAGGGAGTAGCCACCCATTCCAGAAAAGTGAAGTATAACTATAGCAAAAAAATGAGGGGGGGGGGGGTTCTCCTTTAACCTGACCTCATTTTGCAAAGGGTTTCCTTTACAAATAATTTTAAAGTACTGAGCATTCTGCTTAGTAATTTTTTTAAACTGTATGTATGTATGTATGTATGTATGTATTTATTTTTAATCCTCACCTGAGGACATTCCTCTGTTTATCATCAGATAGAGTGGGAGGGAGAGAAAAAGAGAGAGAAACATTGATGTGAGAGAGATACTTCAATTGGTTGCCTCCCACACGACCTGAGTAGGGCCAGGGACAAACCACAACCGAGGTACGTGCCCTTGACCAGAACTGAACCCGTGACTAGGCTGAGTCAAACCGCCCAGTGCTGCTTAGTAATTTAAAAACCATATTTATTAAAGGCTGTCATAGTTACCATAATTTTAAAACAGTGATATTCCAGTCCTCTAAGTGGATTTCAAGCTACAGCCCAAACCAAAAGGCAACCTACAATAGTTAAGAGTGCAGTCAAGCCCTGGCCAGTTTGGCTCTGCAGTTAGAGCGTCGGCCCTCGGACTAAAGGGTCTCAGGTTCGATTCCTGGTCAAGAGCATGTACCTGGATTGCCTAGCCCTAGTAGGTGTCCTGCAGGAGGCAACCAATTGATGTGTCTCTCTCACATTGATGTTTTGCGCTCTCTCTCTCCTTCCATTCCATGATTGCTAAAAATCAATGAAAAAATATCCTCTGGTGAAGATTAACCACCACCACCACCAAAATAAATAAAGACTTCAGTAAGTAAGAATCTTGTTTCTTGTGACAAATTTTCACTATATAGTTCTAAATTCAAGAACCTCTGCCAGGCCCTGGCTGGTTTGGCTCAGCAGTTGAAGCATCGGCCTGCGGACCAGAGTGCTGGGTTCGGTTTCTGCTAGGGGCACTTACCAAAAACAAACAAACAAACCTCTGCCAGTATTCAAAAAAATTATTCCTGATGAAAACAAAAACCCAAAAGCAAGAAGTTGAGTTAGAATCGATTCAATGTATAAACAGAATACATGAAATTTACATTGTAAAGTAAAATGGGGAATTCTTCCAAGATTCATAAATAAAGCCAATTCAATTATTTGGGGAATAAGAATCAAGGATAAAACAGTGGACGAATCCTTAGACCAAATTTGTATTTTAACATTATCCCTCTCTAGCCTACAATCAAACCTTTTCCCAAATCGTTGACGAAAAAATATAACTTCCATGAGCTCCTTCCATCTTTTTATCCTTCCTTACCATCAGCAAGAGCTACAAAAATACAATTAAGTAGCAAAAAACTAAAGTGGGAACAGAAGAGAAAAACAAAAGACCTGGATAATCAGATCTGTGAATAATCTGAAATGGGATTAAAATTTACAGCTTTATAAAAGGATCTAAAAATTGTTTTAATTAGCAGTAAAATCAGACATAAATATGTTAATAATGCATATTAGTCCTGGCCAGGTGGCTCCATTGGTTGGAGCGCTGTCCTGAGCACCAAAAGGTTGCGGGTTCAATTAGTGGTCAGAGCACATACCTGGGTGGCTGGTTTGAGCCCCAGTTGAGGGTGCATACAGGAGGCAACCCATTTATGTTTCTCTTTCACATCTGCTTCTATCTCTGTCTCCCTTTCTCTCTTTCTAGAAAATCAATAAAGAAACATCTTGGGTAAGAATTAAAAAGAAGCCCTGGTCGATTTGGCTCAGCGGTTGGAGCATTGGCCTGAGACCAGAGTCCCGAGTTTGGTTCCCACTAGGGGCACATACCAAAAAACAAAACAAAAAACAAAAACAAAAGCAAACTTTTAAAATAAAAAATTAAATTAAATTCAAAAAATTTAAAAAGCATATTAAATACAAAAGTATGTGCTATATCTGCAGTAGTAATGTGAATGGCACACTCCCCAAGTATACGAAAACAACATGTTCATCTCATGGACAGTTTTGATGTGTGTCCCCCCCACCACTTTCATCTTACTTTTAACTTAAGGGAAAATATTAACATGTCCCAACTATACCTGCTCATCAACTGCAGTCACAGGTTGGCTACAGAAAGAAGAGTTTGGAAAAAACTCAATGAAAGCATTCTGTGGGAACTAACTGGCTATATAGAATTTGCAACAGGAGTATTACATATTATATTATTTGTAAATTCTTTATTTCATTCTCTCCAATAAAATTTATACATTTATTGTACTAAAAGAAAAGAAATGAGATAAAACATGATACCTGAATGTCTTTCTTGACTGGTTTAGCTTTGTTATCCACAACTTTCTTCCTAAATTCAAGAAGAACCTCTTTACAGTCCTCGAGATGAACTTCAGGCTCCCAGGTATCATCATCTGATGTGTATCCTTTCCACCGAACTTTGTAAAGGATTTTACCCTGTTACATAAAATTAAAAACAGGTAAATAAAGGATACTACTGACCTGATCAAATTTCCAAAACAATACAATTGCTGAGAATATGGAAACAAACTTGAAATGGAGACTAACATCATTATAAAGTATGTTCATCTCCTAAAGAGGCTTAAGAAAAAAACAGCAGCACACCAAAAGCAAAGCTTTTGCACAGCAAAGGAAATGAACAAAATGAAAAGGCAGCCTACTGAATGGAAGGAAATATTTCCAAATCATATAAAGGACTAACATACAAAATATATAAAGAACTCATATAACTCAACAGCAAAAACCTAAAGCAATCTGATTAAAAAATGGCAGATGTAAATAGACATTTTCCCAAAGATATACAAATGGACAACAGGTACATGAAAAGATGTTCAACATCACTAATCACCAGGGAAATGCAAATAAAACCCAGAGATATTACCTCACTTCTGTTAGGATGGCTGTTTTCAGTAAGACAAAAAATAATAAGTGTTATAAAACAAAAACAAAAAACAAGTGTTGATGTTGATACGGAGAAAAGAAAACCCTATGTTGGTGGGAATGTCAAATGATGCAGCCACTATGGAAAACAGTATGGAGGTTCCTCAAAAATGTTAAATAGAACTAATATATGATCCAGCAATTTCACTTCTTGGTATTTATCTGAAGAAAATAAAAACACTAACTCAAAAAGATACATGAACCCCCAGTATACTCAGCATTATTCACAGCTACCAAGATATGGAAGTAACCTTGGTGTCCATCAACAGATAAAGAAAATGTGGTGTGTACACACACACACACACATACACAATTTTCACCATAAAAAAAGAATGAAATATTGCCTTTTGCAGCAACATGGACGGATCTAGAGGGTATCATGCTAAGTGAAATAAGTCAGACAGAGAACGACAGATACAACATGATCTTACTTATACATGGAACCAAAAACCAAAAACAAAAAAACCTATACTCATAGATACAGGAACAGATTGCTGACTAACAGAGGCCAAGGGGGAACATGGGAGGGAGAAATTAGTGAAGAAAGTCAAAAGGTACACATTTCCAGTTATAAAATGAGTAAGTCACCCTGGTGATTTGGCTCAGCGATAGAGCATTGGAACTCAAACCAATGAGTCTCAGTTCGATTGCTGCCAAGGGCACTTAACACTGTTGCAGTTTGTCCCCAGCCCCAGTTGGGGTTGTGCAGGAGGCAGCCACTTGATGTGTACCTTTCACATCGAGGTTTCTCTCACTTCCTTCTCTCCCTCCCACTCTGTCTGAATAAAAATGGAAAAATGTCTTCGGGTGAGGATAAAAAAAAAAAAAAGAGTAAGTCATGGGGACTGTAATGTGCAGGTGGTGACTATAGCTAGTTTTGAAAAAAAATTTTCTTTTATTGATTTTACAGAGGAAGTCAGAGGGAGAGAGAGAAACATCAACTAGTCGCCTCCAGCATGCCCCCCACTAGGGATCAGGCCCACAACCTGGGCAGGTGTCCTGACCAGGAATCGCAACGCACCTTGGTGCATGGGTCAATGCTCAGTCGCTGAGCCACACCGGCTGAGCTATACTGCATATTTGAAATTTTCTAAAAAGATCTCAAAAGTTCTTATCACAACAAAAAAAAATTTTGTTAACTATGTGAGGTTACTGATGCTAACTAGACTTATAGTGGTCTGGCAATGTATACAAACGTGGAATTATTATAGTGTACGCCTGAAACGACTATAATGTCACATGCCAATTATACTGCAATTTAAAAATAAACAACCACAGCCCTGGCTGGTTTGGCTCAGCAGTTACAGCAGTTCTGGTCAAGGTCAGGGCCTCTCACATCAATGTTTCTCTTTCTCCCTCCTTCCCTCCTTTCCACTCTTAAAAAACAAACAAACAAAACACAGGATCATTGATTCTTTTTATAAACCAAAGACTGGGAGGTCTTTTATTATATAAACAATTTGTAATCTTTGAAAATCAATGACAAACATGAAAGACCAAAATAAATAAATAAAAAAAAACAAAACAGGAATGACTGAATTAAAGTCACCCAAAGATATTGACAACAATTTGATCTATTTCTTTCACCTTTTGCATTAATGAACATATTTAACATATAACTTTAAAAATACTGGAATAACACTACCATTCTAATCTTGTTTTTTCACTATGGATTGCATAATTCTTGCTTTAATATTTTTCAAAAAAATTTTTAAGTGATTGTACATTATTCCAGCATATAAATATAAACAAACCACACAATGAAAACTTTCCCTTTGGAAACCAAATGCTGTTTTGATTGTTTCCAATTTTTTTTCTTTCTACATTTTATTATTTCAAACCAGGTGAACAATTCCATAAAATGTAAAGAAAGCAAGGACATGGTCAATGCTGAGGGAGCAGCCTGGGAAGGACATGAGCAAAGCGGCCTCAGTAGGCAGAGTGGTCCATCCCTAGGCTGGCGCTGAGGAGCTACATTTAGGTTCAAAGAGTCAGGTCCAGGGATGGGTGTAAATACAAGACCCACTCAAGGTATGAAATCAATGGAAGGGTGTTGGGTGGGTGCCAATCAGGATCAGATAGTTTTAAATGGTTTTTCTCTAAAAAGTTTTCTAGGTTTGCTGTTTTCTTTTTCCTTTGCTTTTACCTTTAAGGCCTCTGAGCAGCTGAGGGTGGACCTTGGCTGGATCAGGAGCTGGTGCGGGGTGAAGCCAGGGGTCTCAGGCAAGACAACAGTTAAACCAAATAAGATGCCTGCAAAGGGGACAAGGAGGGCTGCACACAGGGAGGCCTGTGGCAACACCTCCCCCAAGTCTTTGGAATTGAGGAAGGGGACAAGGAGGCTAAGAATAGAGTAAGAAGGAAAGTGGTGGTGGTGGTGGGGCAGGTGGGAGTGTGATCCTCCTGCCCCATCTTCCTCAGGGGTTAGGGTGTAGAGTCAGGCATTGTCCCCTCCTGCCAGGCTCTGCTGTTCTCGCCAGAGGTGTAGTCCTGGTTGTTGATGATGACATCAGTGACATCATCAAACACCAACTGCACACTCTCAGTGTTGGTAGCACACAGTGAACTGTGTGCAGAGCTCCTTAGTGTCCTTGCATTTGTCCAGGTCCTTAGACTCAGTCTGAGAGTACTTCTGGCTGCTTCACAGTACTGTCAGACGGTGTACTTAGGGAAGCAAATGAATGTGCCAGTAGGCCTCTGGTGGATGCAGGTGCTGTCAAACAGCCCCAGGCATGTAGTTAATGTCCTCATTCTCCCCAGTTCCAGGGCACAGGTGCTAAAGGTCAAGCAGATAATTTCAGTGGCATCGTCCAAGCAGAGTATCTGCTTCTGCTCAGACTGCTGATATCCCACATCAAATGTCTTGAAGTGCAGGTGCTTGTGGGTGAAGTTCATCTGTAGCACATCCCACTGTGTTTAGATCTAGTCACTCTGCGAAGCTCCAGGCCATTCAGGTGGCAGCAGCAGTGCTGCTGAGCCTGATGACCTCGGCCTTGCAAGATAGTGCAAAGAGGCATCATCCACGGGAGGGGTCAGCAGTCACTCTGAAGATTGCCCGTGGCTTTGACAACGGTCATGATGAACTGGGTGGTGTTGCTGTAGACAACTGCCCAGTGCAGACACTCCTCCTGAGTAGCTGTCCTCATGGATAATCTTCATCTGCTTGACAGTGGTGCTCTTCCCCTCCCAGCAGCCTTTGGTCTTTTGGTCTTCCCACAAGCCCTTGTTGAGCCTCCACAGAGCCCCCAGCCAGGATAGACCCCCCAGCACCCACTCTGGGTAGCATTCCCCAATTTTGTTTTTGTAAGTAAATCTGTAATATCTTGTGCATCTCTTATTAGGTTGTTAGAATAAATTTCCCAAAGAGAAACCAGTGGGATCAAATAACAAACCATTTAGTGGTGATTAGAACACACTGCCCAATGCCTTCAGAAAAGACACCTCAATGGACACTTCCACCAGATAGGGGCCCATCTCTTTATATCAGGGCCAGCACTCTCTATATCAGGGCCAGCACATCAGCAGAGCCTGCCTCCTGTTTCTGCTCATTCTGTGAGCTAAGCATGGTTTTACATTCTTAAAGGATTGAAAACGAATAAAAAAAAGAACTACATTTATATCAAGTACTTTACAATGTTCCATGCGCTAAGACTTAAAATTTATTAGCTCATTTAATTTTTTAAATGTATTTATTTATATTATATTTACTGGGGTAACATTGGTTTCAAGTGTACAATCCTATAATACATCTTCTGTATGCTGCATTGTGAGCTCACCTCCCAAAGTCTTGTGTTTGAAGCCCTTTACCTTCTTCCACCTCCCCCACCCACTTTGCCTCTGGTAACCACCATTTTGTTGTCTGTATCTGAGTCTGTTTGTTTAGTTCGTTTGTTGCTTTCTGTTTAATATCAACATATGGGTGGAATCATAAGGTTCTTTTCCATCTGACTTATTTCTCTTAGCACAATATTCTCAAGATCCATCCATATTGTTGCAAACGGCAATATCTCATCAATTTTTATGGCTGAGTAGTGTTCCACTGCATATATGTACCATATCTTCTTATCCATCAAAGGCTACTTAGATTGTTTCCATGTCTTGGCTACCACGAACAATGTTGCAATAAAGATAGGGGTACATATATCTCCACAAATAAATGTTTTCAAATTTCTCATCATTTAATCGTTACAACAATGCTATGAAGTACTATTACTCATTTTATTGATGAGGAAAGTGAAGCTTCTAGACAGAATAAGTAGCTAGTAAAGATTATTGCACAGTTAATGAGAAGCGCTGAAGTTCAAACCCAGGGCCCAGGCTCCTAACTTACTTCTGCACATGAAGTTTTCCAATACTGGAGGGTGACTTTGTAAATGCCAGAGGCAGACACAGGCACTACATTCTAGTGAGTTCCCAAGAGGGATGCTGATTGTCTTTAAGAGAAGGAAGGTTTTTTAGAAAAACGAGGTCACATTTCTACCATGATAGGAAACACT